GATGAATACGCCACAACCGCGCCATACGGCCAGCTACACGGGCGAGGGCGCAAGCAAGTAGCGTTTATGTTCATGGTTGCGAGCAGAGAGATGAAAAGAACATCAGGCTAAAACAATCGTTAGCCACACCGCCGCGCACTTTCGAATGGCGACAGGCCACGCCTCGAGTCACCGGACATGCTCATTTTGCCAGGAACAAGATCCACCTCTCATCTAATCGCGGTGTGACTTCGATGAAAATAACGACCCGAACCTCTTCGCTAGACTGGCTTCCTTCCACTTCACCATTAGGTTCGTCCTTCACGACATCACCAGTCGAAATCCTTTCTCTATTTGCATGGCGCAAGCTCCGAGCAGTCTCACTAGCCCTCTTGGGGTGATTCCCATTAATAGAAGTTGGAGAGGTAAGAAGAGGCGTAGGACTAAAAACTATCAGATCAGGAAAACGGGCATTATGATGAAGCTAAGCTACTCACGTGACAGTTTTCCTTTCTCTTTTGATTGTGTCGTACATATTGGCACTCTCAATATCGTACTGGCCCGGATCTCCTGGTGGACACTGTTCTTTCTGCAAAATGGACTAAACCAATTCAATTCGATTTTTCAGCATCCACCTTCCTCTAAGCACTGAGGAATATTACCTCGTGACTTTCTTCATCTTCTCTGACATCACGTCTTCTCAAGGGACCACGTTTAGGGCTAGGTGATCGCACGTTTTCATCAACGTACTCTTCTTTCACATACCTGGAAACTGCCGCTAAACTGAGAAACGATCAGACCTCAAGGAATTTCACTTTACCTTCTTCGCCTTCTTTTTTCGTACTCACGCTCATCTGATGAATCACTTTCCTCATAGTGTATACTTCCTGCGATTCTCCGTCCTGAGCGCGTATAGCCAGCGGCAGGCTGTGCTTGAATGAGCTCCTGAAGGAAGACAGATCAACAGGGAATCTCACCATATTAAGTTCACGTTTAGTACAGACATCCGTAAATAGCTGTGGCCACTATGGATACCGCCGCAGACCCACGAAAGAGCTCACTCAAGGCCAAGGCGCTACTTTGAATCAAAATCTATCACGCAGTCTCCTTCCTCCTTTAATCTCCCTTCTCCCTCATCTTCCCCACTTTCCTCTCCTGTAAACGCTGGCTCAGAAGACTGGCCGCAAGAGCATATCATGTGACAAAAGCCCTGGATCCCAAAAGGATGGGACATCCTGGTGCCACTGTGCGCGTGCGAGCTGCGGTAACCCCCCCCCCAAATTTGCACAAGTCTCTGAAAGTATGAAATAATGACAGAAGCTCCTTTTTCACACAATTTCTTAGACTTTTTTCCCAACTGAGTGCAGCAATTAATTAGGGGACACGAGTCGCTTCGTGAAGCAGCTAAAACGAAGAATGCCTCCCCTTCGCCGAAGTTCGCCATTTCTCCAAAACATTATTATGTTGTCTTCAGACACAATAGCTTAAAAAACAGTCCTGCTCGTTGCTTATGTGGACGCATTGAAGGGTATGGATCTGGCGCGACGCCAAATCTGTTTTCCATTAATTACCGTCGCTTACCCACTTCAGCAGCTGCGAGAGAACGGAGTAAGCGCTGCACCATGCTCACTCCACCCAACACGCCCTTCATCCGCAACGCAAGAATGTAGTAAAATATTTGGTAGATTTACAAGAGTTCACCAAAAGACCCGGTACACCGGGCTAGAACAAAAAAAACAATCATTGTAACATTAAACAAGCAAACCTTGTGGAGTTGTGCCGTTGCTGTACGTATAATACTTTTCATGAAACTTCCACGTAAATGGCGTTCAGCGAGATCATTCTCGGCTAAGCTGCGATAAACCATCGACCGCTCACGACTTGAACGACGGAGATCTTTTTGTGGAGAGAGACCATTGCCGCGCTTTACCATCACCTTTTAATATTTGAAAATTGAGAAAAAAGAGGCAAATGTTAAGAAGCGTGTTTCGTTTTGACACGACTAGCAACCAATCTTAACTGAATAAAGTTGTTGGGAAAAAGAGCAAAAATGCCTTGAATCCATCTCAGCAAGTAACGAAACAAGTAAAGGGACAGAAGTAAAGGGTGAAGGGGACAGCGTAAATGAAACTTCAATTCAAATTTCAACAGAAGTAACGCCTCAGTTAACAAGCATAGATTAATTAAGGGACGCCACAAAACGCTACACAAAGGCCAACGTAGTGTTCCAAAGCACGAATTCAAAATGGTGGAGCATCAAAACCTTAGAAAAACTAAGAAAAC